GTAGAATCACTACACTACTTCTATACTATCCCCTCCCCTCCAACAATTAGTGTAAAGGTTATTCCCAGAGTGAAAAGAGGCATAGCCAATGTATTGCTATGGCTCACTAATCATTGGTTGCCAGTATAGCTCTTTGGAGACCACAGGTAACATAGAACATCCCTGCAGCTGCTTAGAGTTGTATTAAGGACCAAAGCATCTCTGGCCAGCAACAAAAAAGCCACTTATTATTTCCTTCTTTGCATCCTGTGCCAAGTACAGGTAAACCAAATGAGAGAAAATATATTTTGTCATTTACTGGAAGATAGCCATATATGTTTAATTCAAACATTCAACAAGTACGTTTTCTTCACTTGCTTCTAACTCTTTTCACACCCCTACCTTAAACCTGAAATCCTATCCACTCAGCATGGAAATTCAGGATTTCCTGGCAGTTTTCATAAGAGCAAGGCTTTGTATCTGCTCACTGATTGGGCAGTATTTTAGTTCTACTCTCATCTGTTCTGAGTACTACGTGCACATTTTCTGTTAGCTATTTGTCATCTCAAAGGCTATATCAGTAATGATTGCTGTATGAATATAGTTCACAAAGGCCTTTGAGAATCTTCAGAATAAAAGATACTAGCTAAATGTAAGCTATTATTACTACTAACTGGGCCTTTAAAAGAATTTCACCAGCACTATAGATGGACCAAAACCAGAACACTGTATGTACCCTCCAGCTCCCCTCCATGAATTCTGTGGATCTATGTTTTTATACGTTACCTCTTGCTGTGGAATCTGAATGTCTTCTGGTTCTGGATGCTGTGATACCTGAGGCATATCTCTATAAGGGACACTGAATTTGAACACTCCAGAGTCTGGGAAAATTCAGATTTAGATCAGGATCTGAACTCCATAGCTCAGCCCATTCCAGGCAAAAAAGAGATGATGGATAATAGTTTTCATTCAAACCATGAGTGATACAGACATTTTATCAGAAAGAAAACTGATCCAGGGACTGCTCTTTCTTCGATCTTGTCAGCAAATGACTCAGTAACAAAGTGAAAAAGGTGCTGAGCAGTTTCAGAGAAAAAACCTAATAAGAGTTACACTGCCAAAGAGATTCATATCCTCCTTAATCAAATAGGCCAGGTTTTTCCTCCTTTCCATATTGGCTTCGCTGACACTGGGGCAGGCTTTTAGGTATAATTGTCCTCATTCCATTGAAATCCATTGACAATTTATAATCATTTGCACCAGTTTAAGCCCTGCCCTATAAACTTCCCCAATACTTCCACACCTTCTGAGAATAGTGTGTGACGGGTTCCCTTTGGGCTGTCACCTGGTGTGCTGGTCATGCCACTGAGCCTGCCGACTTGCCCTTTGGAGTGCCCCATCACCCTATCCTGCTGTTCCAGAAGCTCTGATCTTCCCCAAACAAGTCACAGTGTTACGGTAATGGCCCTTCAGCAGAACAACATAGATGTTGAACCAGCTCAGCTCTGGGAGGAGTCAGCTATAAGACTATTGACAGAATCCAGGAACATAGCCCCAAAGAGAAGCAAAACCCAAATAAATCCATCTTACTCTGCATAAAAGTTTTACATAGAGTAAAGTTTGCCCTCTTTATCAATTAAAGAGATATGCACAGTGATTGCTCCCCCTACTCTCTGACCCACGGTAATAATTATTTACACTGGATTTGATAATAAAAGTGTTTTTATTAAGTATAAAAAGTAGGATTTAAGTGATTGCAAGTGAAAACAGACAGATCAAAGTAAGGGAGGAAGGGAAAGGAAAGCTCAGGGGTGGGAGTCCGGCTGCCTCTCCCGTCTCGCCACACTGCGGGT